ATCACACGGGGTCATATACACCAAGGGATTGGTTCAGAGTCCACTGTACGGAAAGCTTCCATGAACACTGGCTACCGTTGGCTTGCATGGCGTCCCTGCCCCCTGGAAATGGTCACCAGGCTCGCTGTTCTCGAAAGCTGGTGGTTTGAGTTCAGCTGGAAGGTCTAGTGACACCACTTCTGAAAGATCAGCCAAGTTAAAGGCCACACGCGGCTGCGAAGGGCTGGAGTCAACATGACTGCGGAGGTTCTTAAAGAGTGAAACAGTGTTCTCACACCGCGCCTGACATCAGAGGCTGTCGCATTCTTGGGCCAGGCGCCCCTCCTGGGCTGGAGAACCAGTGTGTCAAGAGGCCTCAAAAGGTGCAGAAGCCAAGCCGCTTTCCCGCCTGAATCCCCGATTCCTTGGGAGCCTGACAGAGGATCCACTCTGTGGAGACGGAAAGTGAGAGTCCTAAGGCATCAAAGTGGGGGAGGCCTGACTTGGGGAGCCGCTCCCGGGTGCCCGGCCCTGTGGCTGGCCAGGTGGCCCGTGGCTTCACACAGAAGCAGAGCTCTCTCCACTCCTCTTACAAGCAGAGTGTAGCTTGGAAAGAAATGCAGATTTAAAAAACAAACAAAAAAAACCCCCAACCCAACCAACAAAAAACCCAAAACACTAATCGGAACAGAGAGGAGAGGGAGCTGGGGAACCCCACCACTCGTTATGTCGCTATTGTCCTCAGCAGAGAAGGGGAGCCAGCCTGTCCTTAGGCGGGGGTGTCTCTGAGAGGTTTCTTTGGCTAAAAGGAGGACCAGGTTTGCCTTTTCAGTCAGGTGAGGACAGTGCTGGCCCCTCAATGCTGAGGCTCCCCTCTGGAAGTCGGGGGACACACCCCCCAGTGCAAAGAGCTGCGATGGTGGGTGGGAAGGTGCCTCGGCCGGGTTGGGTCCTTGCCTTTCTAGGAATTGTCTCACCCAGTGATCTTCCTTCTGTTTTCTGTCACAGCAGCTGCCTCGCAGGTCAGCAAGAGGATGGGCCCCCATCCCACCCACCTCAGCGCTCGGTGGAGACGTGGGGTGCGAGCCAGGCTAGGCCAGGAGGCATTGCGTTGTATCAACCATGAACCATCAAAAGACTTCCTGAAGCCTCATCACCTTCCTCCAGTTTCCAAGAAAAGTTGCTCCATGCACTCACCCACACACACACAACCAAAACCCTCCACCACAAGCTTGTTCGGAAATGAGAGTCCGCGATCCCAAAGCTCGACTCGAGAGACGTCACCCTGTAGGTAGTTCTAATCTCACCGTCTCTTCCTCACACCCAACAATCTGCTGTTCGATGAGGCCACTGCTTCCAGTGGGGAGAGAGGCCAGCCCGGTGGGGGGCTCTACAGCCACCATCAGGCTGGACACGCACGCACCATGCACCCTGCCACCGCGGTGCCGCCAGGCCCTGCAGCTCTTGCCTTGGTCCTGTCCCCTCACCACCATACACAGCAGTAGAGGCACCTGAGTCCCAAGAGCCAGCTGGGGCGCAGACCCACAGCTTACAGCAAGTGTCTCCACAGGGCACAAGTGAGACACCTTTCGACCTGTCCTCGACAGCTACCCCCACGGGGACAATGAAGCAGCAGGCCACCTTCGGGGTCACTGCTAAGCACATGCTGTGTTCCTCCATGGGACCTGGTCGGGGGACTCAGGGTTAGGGTCTAGGTGGGAGATGGGGGTCTGGGGTCCCCGCCTAGGGCCTTCAATCCCTGTGGAGAGGTCAGGTGAGGGGAGGAAGGAGCAGGGACAGTCGCGGTCACTGCTGGGCTGGCAGGAGCCCATCGTCCTGCTTCCTCCGTGGAGAGTGGCTCTTGCACCGTCTTCATTCAGGGCAGAGACCTAGGGCTTTGTCTCGGAGCCCAGTCGGAGCGAGCAGGGCCGCCCACTGAGAACCTCTGGTGTCTCCACAGCCGACGACCCATGGGTCACACGTGAAGAGCCGTGGGACTCTGGTCAGAGCTTCTCTGGCCTCCTAGCCATCCACTCACATTTGGGTCACTGGCTTGTCCCTGGAGGATGTGGGGGGGAGGGGTCTGGATAGTGACTGAGAGTCGGAGGGGGCTTGTAAGGTTTACCTCTGCAGGGAGGACCACCTGCCTATCACCCTGGTACCAGCTCATCCTGCCTCCAGCAGCATCTAAGAGGGAACAATTGCCACATAAGAGGGACATAAGCCACATTGCAGGGCAGGGGGGGTTTCCGGGAGGGGCCGAGTCAGTCCTGGGCAGAGGGGCCATTTCTGCCTGATGGGTCAAGGATGGAAGGCCACGGTTTCAGAACCACGGGAGCACTCTGTGGTGGGCAGACCCACCGCCAAGGGTCTAAAACTCAGGGTCTCAACCGCCTGAGCACAAGGCCTGGCCCTTTTCCACTTCCTTCACCAGTGACTTCTCCTGAGGCTGCCCGAGGAACACTCTTCATTCTGGTGTCCTGTCTCACAGGACCAGATGCCAGGTGTCCCTCCGTCAGCACACACAGTCCCAGACACAAGAAGCTCCAATATTAGAGAAAACAGCCACTTGGGATAAATGACATCTAACCCCACCACAAACGTCCATGTGACAGCAGCGAAGATACTCTGTGCAATGACCTCATCTCTGAGTAGCAGGGAACCCGACTCCTGACCTGGAGGAGGGAGGCAGGAGGCTGTCTGGTGAAGGAGGACGAGACAGAAGCGCTCAAGCAGACAGCATCGTTTTCTCTAGAACGGAGGGCGGAAAGAACTGTTGTCATTTCCCCCCCTAAACGATCAGGGGGTGGCAGCTGCTGTGGAAGGCGGTCTGGGGATGTCCAGCAAGGCAAACAGCTTCGCCCACAGCTCAGAACTGGCATCCTGTAACTGGGGTGAGGGGCTCTGATGGGTACTGCTGACAGCTGGCCTCAGGAAGGCCCAGGGATGGGCATGCTTTGCAGGATGGGGCGGTGGGCAGGGAGGGTCTTGAAGACCTGCCTCCCCTCTTCTCAGATTGGCCACTGTCCCGTCACTTTGGACGTTTGGGGCCTTCTCCCTCTGACAGACGTGTTGAGAGCACCCCAGAGCAGTCTCCTGCCAGCCGCCTGTCCGTGTGGCTCACGTGCTTGTGCAAATGGGGTTGTGACGTCCTGCAGGCCTGCGCCTCAACTCTCCAGTGTGGCGGTCAGTTAGTTTCTTTGTATGAGGAATAAGAGTCTACGGCTGGGGGCTTCCCAGAGTTCTTTCACAGCTAAGTGCTAAGGACAAGGCCCCGAGGCTTGGGGATGAAGTGGGTTGCTCACACGCTCCTTTCACAGCGAGCCTCGGGTCTGGAGGAGCAGCCAGGACGAGGTCATCCGCCTGCTGAGCTGAGGGACATCTGTCAAGGCCTGCCACCACCTCAGCCTCCGCGGTCTGGAACCTGTGTGGAGCCGCCTGGCGGACAGTTTCCCTGTGTTCCCCTTCCAAAGGGTAACTTGATCTAGGAATGGGGAATCCAGCGCCCTGCAGGGCTCAAGTCCGAGGAGACGTCCACTCTATCGAAGATGGAAGAGCACAAAGGGCAGATTTCTTTGGAACGGTGGCTGTCCGTGGGGGCGACGTGCTGGGGCAGCCTGGGGAGTGCAGGCATTCTGTGGTGGTCTGTGGCGGGAAGGAGAGCGAGCAGTCAGGCCAGGAGGGGACCATCACAGCTTGTTAACAAAGGGCTTCTGTGGGGAGGGCAGGGCGTGCTGGGCGGCCTCTTCTTCCCCAACATCACCGAAAGGAATCTCTGCTTCCAGGCTCAGAGCAAGAGGGAGGGGTGAGGATCTGGCCCCCCACCGAGAACTCCAGCCATGACATCACACGTCCACCTGCGTCCACCTGCCCTCGTACCAGGTCCACACCCTCCTCCACCCTGGACGCACCTGATGCCCCTCGGACAGAGCGCGAGGAGGAAGATGGAGAGGACGGAGGAAGGCGAGAAGAGCGGCTTTCCCGCGGCCGGGCCGGGAGGGAGGTGCACCTTCGACGGCTGCCCTTCGTAAGGCACTAGGAGGGAGGATGTGGAAGCGGGAGGGCGGGCGGCGGTGCTGGGACACACTCAGCCATGCACGCTCGCACACGCTCACACGCCTGTGTGAGATCACTCGGTTCTGTGCAATCACACTGAGGAACAGTCTATTGGTATCACTGGAGTTGAACACAAAAGTCCAGAACGACGGGGCAGAGTGCTACGTTCTATGTGGGGGTCTCGGTGCTACATGCCAGGCCTGCGCTACATGACCAGGGATTGAGTCAGAGAGAACAGAACTCCTCGGAAGGGACGGAACTCCACGGTGCCACACGCGTGACTAATGACACTGCTCAGAGGTTTGCCCAGAGGGGGCCGGAGCCGGGGACAGCCTCTCTCCAGGGCGCTCTGCTCCCCAGCCACCCCCCCAGAACCAGGCGTCCTTGCCTCCAGCCTCTCCAACCCCACTGGACTCCAGACATCAGCCTCCCTCAGGCCTCAGCCTGGCATTCCAGGGGTGGGCAGGGCTGACCCTTCAGAGTTCTGGAATAATCCCTAATTCTTACCATTCAACTCAATAAAAAAATCTATTGGATTTTCCATATCTGGTGTCCCTGGCAGCAAATTCATAAATGTCACCCGCTGCCCCGTGAAAATAACCTTTGAAAAGTTCACAGATAAAAGTTCTTCAAATATTGGGCCCCCTCCCTTACTGCTTCCAGAATCTTCCATGGCACACCTCTTCTCTGTTCCAGTTGGCTGCAGAATGGGCTCAAGAGCTATCTGATTTTTCCATACTGAATTTTTTTTTAAAAACCCCTTTTTCTTTTTTTAAGAATAAAAAGCTAGATTTCCCCTCTCCTGATGAATCCTCTCCTCTTAAAACGTTCACGTCTTCTCTGCTCCGAGTCGTCCCACCGCCTGGTTCAAGTCTTGTTCAGCCTTCTTGCCACCCCCTGCCCTGCTGGCACTGTCCGTGTGTGCATGGTCTTCAGTATAAAAGCCGCCCGCCCGCCGCCCGTGTCTATAGGTAAGGGTACTGGTTGACCTTGGCGGGGCTCAGCGGGTATCCAGTGTAGACAGTGGAGGCCGGTGAGGCGCTGATGAAGGTCTGATGGGCAAACTGGGCGGGGTACTGACTTGGGTGGAGGGTGGGCGAGGGCAGCACCCGGGGACCCATGCTCACGGGCACCTGGTGGACGATGCTGGCCGGGTAGGCGGTGTGCTGCACGGGGTGCCGAGCTGAGCCCTGCGAGGCCACAAGGTGGGCCACGGTGCCGGTGGAGCCCAGGGCAGCGGGCGCCGTGTAGGTGTACAGGTGGGGCTGGGCTGGGAGGTGAGCGGCGGCGGCGGCCAGGTGGGGGTGCACTGAGCCATGGCTGGGGCTGTTGTGGGGGAAGGAGTAAGGGGCCTGGGCCATTGTAGGGGCGATGTAGGCTTGCTGCCTGCGGTGGTTCCCTGTGCGGTCCGAGGTGATGTGCTGCTGGGCCTGGAAGAGCCAAAGAGCAGGGTCAGAGGAGGACATGGGTCTGTGAGGGGGGACCAGATACATGGGCTCACGGGGAGGACATGGGGTGAGGGCAGAGTCAAAGAGGGGGGTCAGAGGAGGACACGGGGGTGAGAGGACAGAGAGGGGGCCAGAGGAGGACATGGGATGGGGAGGAACCAGAGGATATGGGGTGGTGGGGGGGGTGAAGCCTCAGAGACGGGGGTGGAAGGGGAAGTAGAGGCGAAGAGGAAGTCAGGGAGTGACACAGAGAAAAGTGTAACAGGAGAGAGGGCATCAGACTGGACAAGGGAGGAGGAGAAGGTGGGTCAGGCTGGTGGTGAGAGGAATGAGGAGGAAGAGGGAGACCAGGGTGGGGGGAGGGGGTGGAAGGTGACGGAGAGGAGGGGTTAGGAATAAGGAAGGAGGAGGAGGAAAGGGGAGAATTGGGGAGGAAGGCTGGCACTGGACACAGCTCAGGAGGTGAGTCTCTTGCACAGAGCAGGGTGAGCTCCCGAGGGGCAGCCGTCCACTCCTGTGTCCTCTGCAGCCAGGGAGGGCCTGGCGGGGGCTCACCTGGCTGAGGTTGAGGGGCTGCTGCTGGAAGGGCGGCGCTGGCCGCTGCTGCCGGTAGGGGACGGCTCCTGGCAAAGCCGCTGAGGAGGGGCCGCTGGTGGAGGTCATGTTCTGGGAGGACTTGGACTTGTAGAATGAAGAGTGGTGGCTACTGCTGACTGTGGGTGAGAGACAGACCCCTGGTCAGCCGTGGGGTCTCACACAGGAGGGGGGGGGACACGCCCGGCTTCTGGAATAAGCGCCCTGGGGCCCTCTGCTCATAAGCTGGCCGTGCCCCAGGGAGATAGGCTATGAGTTGTGCCAGGGTGTCGGCCAGCTCGGGGCAGTGGGCAGCAGAAGGCCAAGGAGGCTGCCTTCTCACGTTTTCCAGGCCTGGAGTGACTGTGGTGACAAGATGACCCTGCCTCCCAGGGACCCTCCAGGGCAGGACGGAGCTGTTCCTTGGCTGTCCTAGGCTGTGAGTGTACAGAAACGCCTATCAAGTCTCCCCAGTGGAGCGGCTGGTGAGCTTGAATTACTGACCTTCCGCATAGCAGGTGAGAGCTTAATCACTGTACCACTAAGGCCCTGCAGCCCATGCTGAGAGCAGCTAGTTCTGACACGTGAGGGAGGGCAGTGGGCCTCAGTGGGGCCCTTCCTCTCGGCCGGTCTCTGGGTGGGCGCACACCAGCCTCTAGGGAGGCCCGGTCTTCAGGATAGCAGTCTCAGCGAGAAGCCCGCTGGGCAGTTTGAAGCGGCATTCTGGCTGTAATGCAGTCCTCACAGAGACAAAGAGCCGGGCACCTTGCCTCAGAAGCGGTTTAGTCTCAGAACCCGATGGGACAGGGTCACTGGAAGACACATCATGCTTGGCTGCTGACCACAAGGGTAGAGGTTCGAGTGCACGAGAAGCACCGTGGAACAAAGGCCTGGCAACATCTGAGAAGCCAGCTCTGGACGCGCCTCCACTGACCAGCTGCGCTGGGAGGACAGAACCCTGGTGGTGCAGCAGATTAAGTTTCGGGCTGTTAACGAAACGGCCGGTGGTTTGAAGCCACTAGTGGCTCCCCAGGAGGATGAAGCCATCAGCTTCCATCAAGATTACAGGCTCAGAAGCGCTGTGGGGCAGCTCCATGCTGTCCACGGGGCGGTCAAGAGTCAGAACAGACTGGACTGAGTGGCTTTGGGGTGGCTCAGTGGTCAGGAGTTGCAGAGCCAACCCAAAGGCAGACAGTTCGAATCCATCAGCTGCTCTGGGAGAAAGATGGGCCGTCTGTCTCCGCCATGTGATTTACTGCCGTAAAGCTGCTGCAGGGTCAACCAGGAGTCGGTCCTAACTCCACAGAACAAGAGCAACGGCTGGAAGGGGCGCCACGGAAAAGGGGTGAGGGACCCAGACTACAACGGAGACGCTGCTTCTGGGCGGTAATGCGGGGCAGTCCCTGCACCCGTGAGTCACCCTCTGACCGCCCCGTGTACCTGGCACAAGGCTGTCACACTCCACCAGCACCTCGCTGGCCTGGGTCTTCAGGGGCGGCACGATGATGGTGCGGGGGTTCCCAGGGCAGTGGGCGTCCAGGCCGCCCTTGCTGTCGAAGGCATGGCTGCCCCCGTGGCCAGCCCGCGGCTGTCCTGAGTGAGGGCTGTTGCTGCTGGAAGAGTCGGAGTAGGGGGAGTCGTGGACCGTGACACAGCTGATGACGTTCTTCCTCTGCTTGGAGACGGTGCTGGAAGGCAGGAGGCAGAGGGTGGTGAGGGGCGCTCGGGGGAGGCCCCAACGTCACCAGTAACCACCGGTGCCCTGGGGAGGGTGTTCACCACCCACGGAAGGGGCAGGGTGGGCTCTGAGTGGGGGCTGGTCACCAGCCACTGTGCTGTTGGAATGGTGGGCGGGGACAGAGCTGGGCAGTGACCCAGGGGCCACGAGGAGAGGTCAATAGAAGGGCCCAGAAAGAGCCAGGGGAACAGGGACACGGTTTGGGAGGCCAGCCCAGCTGGGGAGGAAACCCACAGAGCTGAGTGTGGGGCCAGTGATGTGGAAAGTTCTCCCACCAGGGCGGCCTGTGGGGGGCCAGGAGACATCTGAGGAAGGTTCTGAGGGAGAAGTCTGAGAAAGGGAGGAGTGTTCTGAGGGGGTGAAGGGGCTGTTTCTGAGGAAGTCTGAATAAAGAGGTGAGTTGGGGGAATCTGGGAGGAAGGAGGGGGGTGAAGGGCTGAGGAAAGAGCAGAGATCCGACTGAGGAGGGACTTGAGGGGTGGCGGGGAGAGACCTGAAGAGGGTGAAGGCAGGGCCTGGGCAAGGAGGAGGTTCCGAGGGCGGAGGAGGCTCAGGTGGGGTTGTTAGGTGCTTCTGAGTCGGGTATGACCCTGTGAACAGCAGGCCCGAGCCCTGTCCTTCCCCGGACCATCCTCACAATCTGAGGAGCCCACTGCTGCAGCCACCACGTCAGTCCGTCTGGATGGAGGTCTTCCTCTCCTCTGACGACCATCCGCCCTTCCAAGTGTGATGGGGGAGGCAGGTTCCAAGGAGGAAGATGAGTTGAGGGGGGAGTGAGGTCAGTGGGGAGAACTGAGGGGGGTGACAGGGTCTGTGGGAGAGGCTATGTGACACATTTAGGCTGTACTGGGTCACACCCTCTGTCACCTCTGTGGGGTCTGCAGGGACAGAGGGCAGCCACACACCCAGGGCTGGACCAACCTGGAGGTCAGGTGCTCAAAACCCCCCTGAAAATGGAGGGAGCAGGGTGCTGAGACGGGAGTCGTGTAAGGTTTAAAAAGGAGACCTAATTTGTGTCTTTCTGAACACTGTGTATTTTTAAGAGTGACTAGGGCAGTGAGTCCATTTCCAACTTCATAAAAAGTAGGTGTCCCCAAGGTTCCTAAAGAAGGGGACAAACTCTCATTCAAGGTCACACTGTGGTCATGGCCTGAAGGGTCAAACTACTCAGCTGCACGGCTGGGCAGGTGGCAGTGTCAGGCCAGTGAGCTGTAAAGGCTGGCCTTGTTGGCCTGGTTACGGAGGCTCCTGGGCAGGGAAGCCCAGGGGAGGACCCTGCTGTCCTGTCTGGTTCCTCCTGACCGGCCACACCTGGGCTGCACTTTGTAGGTCTGGACACTGAGCCCCTCTGGGCCAGGTGGGCAGGATACCAGTTGTACCAGCACTGCCCTAAGCCTGAGCTGGTGCGTGTGGAGGGGCAGCACATCTCCTGGTGATTCACCCGGCCCCTGGAATAACGTGGACGGGGTCTCTCACAGGCCTCTTCTGACCACTACTGCACTGGGCAATTCCACCGCCAGGGACCTCGCCACCTGTCTGATAACTCGTGTGGCCTGACTCAGACCATGGCCTTTCAATCACTTGCTATCACTTCAATCACTAATTCTTTGTCCAGCATCTGAGAACTTGACAATGAATAAGGGCGACAGAAGAAAAACGGATGCCTTTGAGCTGGGGTGTCGGAGAGGAGCACTGAACTGGTCTGTCGAAAGAGTGAACAGGCAAGTCTTGGAGAAGGTGCAGCCAGAGTGCCCGTTGGAGGCAAAGACGGCAAAGCTTCATCTCCTGTACTCTGGGCATTGTCACTGGAGGGGTCTGTTCCTAGGGGAGCCTGAAACGGAGGAGGGTCAGCGAAAGAGAGGAAGACCCTCGACAAGATGGACTGACAGTGACTGCAGCGATGGGCTCAAGGGTGTCAGAGATCAGGAGGATGGTGCAGGAGAGGACAGGGCTCAGAGCTGTCGTTCATAGGATCACCGAGTTGTCCTCCACTCAGCGTCACCTAATAGCAGCAAACCGGTAAGGAGCCATACTGCCAACCCAAAGGCAAGCAGTTCAAATCCACCAGCTGCCATGTGAAGAAACATGGCAACTCTTCCCGTGCAATTTACTGCCTTTGAAAACTCACTGGAGGGTCAGCTCTGAGTTGATTCCAGCTTGACCATACATAACAACAACCTGCACTACCTGAGCAGCACCACCTTACGAACCGAGAGCTTACGGCGCGCTCATGACATGCTGACACCTCTGTCCTCACAGCCAGAAATGTTCCTGCCCGTCTCAAAGACAACGGCGCTGAGTAACGCCCGCCCCTGCCCACGGTCACACACAGTGAGCGCGGCGTCGGGGTCAGGCTGGCACGCCTAGGTGTGAAGCTGCCCTCCTGTACATCCAGAGGCACCCGAAGCACAAGACTGAAAGCCAATCGTTAACACCTCATCCTGCTGAGCCCGGTGGCACTGACTTTCATATGTGTGTGTACACACACACACACACACACACACACACACACACACATTCACATGCACGCGCGCACGCACATACACACTCATTCACATGCACGCGCGCGCACATACACACTCATTCACATGCACGCGCGCGCACACACACACTCATTCACATGCACACACGCGCGCACACACACACTCATTCACATGCACGCGCGCGCGCACACACTCATTCACATGCACACAC